TTATCGCAATAAATTTTGAGACAATTAATCGCCCAGCAAAATTTGTTATCGTGACAGGCCTAGTTGACTCCAAAAGATAATCTGTTGTAGATGTCCATCCAACGACTACTTTCTTATAATTTAAATCAGATCTGTTCACTGGTTTGTGAGCTACTTTGATAACATACGAACACTTGGGCAACATCTCCCACTAGCAAAATGGCAGCTACCAACAAAGTCGTTGAAGAACAGGATGTAGCTAGCTCATTAAAATAGATAGTTGGGAGATGCTAGAAAATAGAGACAAAGGGTATTCATTATGCACCAAGATAAACATAATTTGCAATGGAAAATGAAAACCAAACAGGACAAAACCTGAGTGTCAGTCTAAGATCGGACACAAAAGAAATCCCACTGATTGTTTGTGCCTAATTAAAATCCCCCCACCTGTAACAACTCCCCTCTTTCCACCACCTCGCTGAGAGTTCCTGGGAAACTGACAGCAGAAATCCCAACCATCACAAGGCTTCAGATTGACGGTTGCCTGCAATGACTCACAAGCAATAAAATCCTAAATTCTTGCACAACCAAAACCTCAGCTTTGTACAATTGCCTGGCAATGAAACTTTCTCCTGATGCCAAAGTTACACTCAATCTGTCGAGGCCTTCGAATTCAGAACAGAATGAAGAGCCACGTCAGACAGACGAGCTGGCAAGAGGTTTCTCTGGCAGGCGTGTTTGTGGACACGGGCCATAATGAACACATGCTCAGCAGAAAACAACATGTCACAGCCTGACACATGCCGGTCAGTTCCACTTAAACAGAGAGCTATTAATTTACCATAAGCACTCTATTAGAAATAAACATTTCATTTACATCTTTTTAGATATTGAAACATATAGTAAAATAAACAAATAAAATAATGAGATTCAGTATTTAATTCAAGGAAGTAAAAATTCATTGTCAATTTAAGCTAGCAAAAAGTTTTTGCAGACAAGTGAAAGTATTCTAATCATAACTTATCATGAAGCGAATAAAAAAAAAAGTTACATAATCTCTGGCATTTATCATGTGTTGCGACAAATGCTTATTAAACAATAAATAGATATTTTACACACAGCAGGCACTCTAAACTAAACTACGGTAAGTTACTTTATCTCAAATTTCCCTTTTCCCATTTTTACATATCACATTTCACAATTTTAATGTGTAATTTTCCCATTTTTTGTCCAGGTTTTCTTGGACAAATCACAGAAATAAAAGGTCCTACCAAATGTCTTAAAAAGAAACCAGGTTCTCTGACTGCCTAGTTGTGTCTTCAGACTTGTTTTTAATCCCTAATATTATATGTAGATGTTGACTGAATCCTGATTAAATTATTTAGAACTATTGTTCTGTGGCTGTGAGGGGAAAAACGTTTGGTTATGCAGGCAAGAGCCAGACTAAATGACAATGTATCAATAACACTCATCAATCGACCCACATCTATGACTCGGATGTCTTCACTGCGATTTTAAGTCAGTGACTCCTAGNAGTCTTTGGTTCGTTGGTCAGTCTTTGGTTCGTTGATCAGTCTTTGGTTCATTAATCGGTCTTTGGTTCATTAATCCGTCTTTGGTACGTTAATCAGTCTTTGGTTCATTGATCAGTCTTTGGTTCATTGATCAGTCTTTGGTTCATTGATCAGTCTTTGGTTCGTTGATCAGTGTTTGGTTCGTTGATCAGTGTTTGGTTCGTTAATCAGTCTTTGGTTCGTTAATCAGTCTTTGGTTTGTTGATCAGTCTTTGGTTCATTAATCGGTCTTTGGTTCATTAATCAGTCTTTGGTACGTTAATCAGTCTTTGGTTCATTGGTCAGTCTTTGGTTCATTGATCAGTCTTTTTTTGTCTTTTTTTGTCAGACTTTGGTTCGTTGGTCAGTCTTTGGTTCGTTGGTCAGTCTTTGGTTCGTTGGTCAGTCTTTGGTTCGTTGGTCAGTCTTTGGTTCGTTGATCAGACATTGGTTCGTTGATCAGTTTTGGTTCATTAATCAGTCTTTGGTACGTTAATCAGTCTTTGGTTCATTGATCAGTCTTTGGTTCGTTAATCAATCTTTGGTTCATTAATCATTCTTTGGTTCGTTAATCAGTCTTTGGTTCATTAATCAGTCTTTGGTTCATTAATCAGTCTTTGGTTCATTAATCAGTCTTTGGTTCATTGATCAGTCTTTTTTTGTCTTTTTTTGTCAGACTTTGGTTCGTTGATAAGTCTTTGGTTCGTTGGTCAGTCTTTAGTTCGTTGATCAGTCTTTGGTTCATTGGTCAGTCTTTGGTTAGTTGGTCGGTCTTTGTTGCGTTGGTCAGTCTTTGGTTCGTTGGTCAGTCTTTGGTTCGTTGATCGGTCTTTGGTTCGTTGATCGGTCTTTGGTTCGNCCAGTCTCCTGTGTTGCAGTGCTCTGGAGGCTCTCATTAACTTTGCGTACAGTGGTCATGTTGCCATCGACCAGCAGAACGTTCAGGCTCTTCTCATTGGCTCCAGCTTCCTGCAGCTCCAGAATGTTAAAGAAGCCTGTTGTTCTTTCCTTCAGGACAGGTGAGCACCACTGCACATGCTCAGTACACAGCTGATTCAAGCTGAGTATCAGGGTACAGGTTGGGTTTACGGTGATGTCATGGCGTTGCTCTCCTCTGTGTGGTGTCAGGTTACATCCTAAGAACTGTCTGGGCGTGCGACAGTTTGCTGAAACCATGATGTGCACGACTTTGTACGACTCAGCCAACACCTTTCTGCACCAGCACTTTGTGGACGTGTCTCTGTCTGAGGAGTTCCTGAATCTGAGGACAGAGGAGCTTCTGGAGCTGGTGGGCTGTGATGAGCTCAATGTGAAGGCTGAGGAACAGGTGAGTCGCCAACCTACAGCTAGCAGGAGGAGAGGCACCTGTACAGGTATATTTTATGTAACATACCTGTACAGGTTTTATTTGATCTTTTGATAAATGATTGAAAATTGTAAAAGTTGTTCTGTGTCTTAAAGAATCACAGATGGGACAAAATATGACCCAGGTATTTTACCTGTGTTCAGTAAGATGTTTTTCTGACATTCTTTGGAGATATTGTGTCTTGTATTGTGTGAGCTTTTAAGTTGTAATGGTTGTAAGGTTGTGTGTGTAAACCTCGGGAATATAGTCTCTACTACAGTAAAAACTAATGGGGACCCTTGAGTAAAAACTAAATGTTGTACCATACCTGTGCAGGTGTTTGAGGCAGTGCTTTCCTGGGTTCATCAAGACCGGGACCACAGGAAGAGTCTGCTACCAGAGCTACTATCAAAGATCAGACTTCCTCTTTGTCGCCCTCACTTCCTGTCAGACCGAGTCCAGCAGGACGAACTGATACGCTGCTGCCACAAATGCAGGTGAGCTCTGGTTCATTGATCAGTCTTTGGTTCATTGATCAGTCTTTGGTTCATTGATCAATCTTTGGTTCGTTGATCAGTCTTTGGTTCGTTGATCAGTCTTTGGTTCATTAATCAGTCTTTGGTTCATTGATCAGTCTTCGGTTCGTTGATCAGTCTTTGGTTCGTTGATCAGTCTTTGGTTCGTTGATCAGTCTTTGGTTCATTAATCAGTCTTTGGTTCATTGATCAGTATATGAGGCCTCTCGAGTAG